CAATGCGTCGATTAACGGTGACCCGTCCTGCCACGCGCACTCGCCAACCCACAGATGACCCATTCGACCCTTCATGCATCCCGAAACATCTGGAAGTGAACATGAACGACAGAGACCGCTCTACCATGGCTGTCAGCCACCCCGACCCACTGGAGCTCACCGAGGATCAACTACTCGACCTCACCCACCAAGCGCAGCAACGATGCCCTACTGACGCGGCGGATTTTGCTCACCTGGATGAAGACCCCTTCGCCGAAGTCCGGGCGTATGCTTACGCCACGGGCACCTCGTGCAAAGGGTTCTTGGGGGAGACAAACCAAGAGATCAAAACTCTGAGCACGTACACCGAAGCCATGAACTCACCACAACGCGAGCAGTGGAAGAGCGCTATCGACACCGAGATGGGTAATCTCGCCAAGCACAAAGTCTTTAAGAAAGTACGCATCAGCCTGGTACCGAAGGATGAGGACATCTTCGACACACGCTTCGTGTTCAAGATCAAGGCCGACAGCCGCTTCAAGGCCCGCTTAGAAGCGGGGGGACACCGCCAACGGGCAGGACGACACTACGGAAGGAACTACGCTCCGGTAACCCGATTGGGTAGCATCCGCATGCTATTCGCCATCGCTTGCGAACACGGATGGGAGGTGTACCAATTGGACGTGGTAGCTGCATTCCTGAACGCGTACACCGACAGAGACGTCTACGTCAGGCCGGCGCCAGGCGACGAGGAGAGGGACCCTACGACAGGTGAAATGATGGTCTACAAACTGGAGAAAAGTCTGTACGGCCTGTCACAGTCCCCGTCACTGTGGAACGACGCCATCAATGACAGACTCATCATCTTCGGCTGGCAGCGCACTCACTCTGACCCCTGTGTCTACATCTTCGTAAGCGGGGACGAACTCACCATCCTCGCGATCTACGTCGATGACATCCTCATCACGGGCGGAAACAAGGAGATCGTAAGCAGGAAAAGAAGGAACTCATGGACAGCTTCGAAATGACAGGCATGGGAGAGGTCAAGCGCGTAATCGGCATCGAAGTGCAGCGGGACTACGAACATGGCACACTAGCCAAATCGCAAGGACCCTACGCGAGAGAAATCCTACAGCGATACGTAATGGAACAGGCAAACCCGGTCAGCACCCCCGGGTATGGAGCAGAAGTATCAACCGAGCAGCCACAAGACCAACT